AAAGAGGACAAATTTAAATGATATTGACAAGCACACTAAACTGAGTACAGTAAATATGAAGCTTTCCACTCAGCTCAAGGACCGATATGATTACCGACCTCTCGAACAGCCTGAAGGCTACTTACAGACCTATATAACCACAACTTCGACTGAATGTATTAAATGATCCCTCGCTGTAAGGAAACAACGAAATTATGAGTGCTATTATTTTAATTTAATTTGACGCCGTCCATAGCTCAGACAATGGCGTCGAATGACAGGTAGTTTAGCGAATAATAAATTGGAAAGGGTGTGAAAGACAGCGGCCTTGGTACTGATCTAATTTAAAGAAAGTTACTATCCTAGCACTTTCCTGGATGGACTGAAGAAAGTCACGAAAACCCCGGGTCAGCATATCCGGTCTCCAGGCAGAGATTTTAACCTGGGATCTCCGAAATACCAACCATGACGTCACGTAAGTTCCGATAAAGGTGTCTGAACCTAAGAGAAACGCCATAAAGGAATTAACAGAAGCAGTTCAGAAGCGTTTCAGAGGTCCATGCTGCCTCCATCATCAGGGATTCATCGCCCTGATGATGGAGGCATCAAGGACCTCTGAAACGTCGGTAAACTTCTACCAGACTACACGGCGCAACAACCCAGAAGACAACAATCTCAAGAACTGCACTATTAGTGCTCTTCGTCTAATATTGTTAGGACGATGGGCTGAACATACAGAACGCACCGGAATATGATAAATGCATGCAGAGTTTTTGTTGTAAACCCTGGAGAGAACACTGACCTAATCATAGCTAGAGGGAAGGTGTGGGAACATGGGTGTAACATTAAAATGGATCTTATATAAAAACAGTTGTGCAAATGTGAACTGGAATCAACTGGCTCAGGATGGAACCCAATGGCGAATTTCCTGAACACACTGATAATCAAGAAATGTCATATCCAATCGTATATAACTGTTAAGTTTCGAAGTAAGACCGCAGGCCTACCTCATGGAGTTAGTGACCAGAGTGTCACATGCTTGTCTGTACCACAAACACCGTATTTTATCTTGTCACAGTTAAAGCTCATCGAGATGTTGCCAGTGATTTCCCAATCTGCGAAATTAGTTCTGACAACCCCTGGAGGAGGGTAGGTTTTGATAAGATGGCAAATACTGTCCTAACGCTGAAACGCTACTCGACACCCAGTTGCTACTCCCAGTGCTTCAACACTGGCGGCGAGTTTGTTGTGGAGTCAGCAGTTAAACGCTTCTTCGTATTTGTTTTCCTGACATTACAGTAAGAGTTGTAATATAAAAATAAAAAATAAAAAAACTTTCTTAAACAAAATAAGAAAAAATACGACACTCGAGGAACAATAACTGTGATACCTTTACAAATATTGAACAACAGCGCAAGAAGCTGACCAAAGAGAAACAGAGGACCACTGACTTGGAGGTCAAAGTGTTCCCTTCGGGCCTTAAATAGTAAGAATTTGAAAGCTTCTGCTGAAAGGGTTCCGAAGGATAACGCCTCAATATGTGTTAAATAATTTTGGGCGGACGTACGACTATACAGACATGTTCTCCGAATTACATTAGCGTCACGGGATGAAGACTACAGAGGGACCAGCTTTGACGTGTCTGTAATTGTTACAGAAGGCAGGCCTAGACAAGGCAAACACCAGGCAGAAGACAACGTTCGTTCCCACAGACACAGAATAACTTATTGTCTCAAGCAATATAAGTAACTCTTGTATTTATTCTCATGTAATTTCCGGTGCCTGAACTGGGGACCTTGAACCCTGAGAACTATCTAATCTGTTCTTCCTTTCCCTTACTTCATTTTTAAGAAAGTTTTCAGGGTATTGTTGCGTAATTGCCAAGGCGACCACTTCTGCAAATACCAAGGTTTTGTAGACTGGAACTCAACGCAGTATTTTGACGCCGGATAAATCTTGCTATATACAAAATTCGGGGCTCAACATAATGCCCGCTTTACATTAAGTCGAATGTACTATTGTCCATGTCTTCAGCATCTGTAACGTTCACCTGATACAATCAAAATATTACCCTCTGCAGTAATGTGTCTACCTAATGCCATAAAGCACAGACCCCACTTGAGACGTTGATGCTGAGCCGGTCTAGAAATTCCACGCGCCCATCTCAAGCACCCTGACGTCATCAGCATAATACGTAACAAACATTTGCTGAAACCTCATCGTGTAGTGTCCCCCACACCCTTGGACGACCCTTCTTCTCATCCACACCTCGCCCTCAAATACACTTAATTTACGTAATGGTCTTCTTCGTTGATAAGGTGTAAGGGTCTTTTAGACAGATACCGACGTTTTGGAAGAATAACCTTGAAAATGGAGGCAGTATGTCTGTCCCCAACATTGGCATTCCACCTACAAGTCCACGCGGTGTTACAAACCAGAAGACAAACATCGATGTCTTCACCTCACATCTCACTGCAAAACTCTTTTCTTCCGTTTGGGCGAAAGACTAAGTTTCACAACCATACTAAGCGAATGGTAAACTTATTTTTGTGTAACAGTATTTAATGTGTTAAAATTCATCTGTCTTCATTAAACTGTCGCACGAATTTCACTTGCGGTTAGACCGCGCGGAAGACAACGGCCTCTACATTTCGTTCATTTGGTTTCTTACCTCCGGGTCGGTCGGCACAAGCGAGATCTACGAGGCGAGCGACCATTAATCACTGCAGTGTGAAGGCCGTTTGGTTTTCTAGCCGTGCACGCTGGCTTCATTCGAGCTAGTGCCTGACGCTATTTTAAGTAAACAAAATACTTGAATAGATTATGATAAACGGACGATGTATGAAATAAGGCGCGGTCTGTCAGAACAAATACATTTACACCTTATATTTACACAAGGATTTAAAAAAAAAGTCATACTCATCGTGAACCAAAACAAAATCAATTGTATAACTTTGGCTTTCGGAGATAAGCCGCATCGAAATGGTCAGAGTTTTTTAACCTTTCGGCAAACCTTATCGTCTACAAATCCTAATATAAATACAAAACGTAAATGTGTTTGTTTTGATAGGCCGTGATTTCACCCTGAAGATGGCAACTGCAATATTTTCCGAAACGTTGTAAAACTCGGAACAATCGACGCGACTCATCCTTGAAAGCCAGAGATGATTTGCCGTTGGTGTATCTCGACCCTCTATGACGTAATCTGGAGGATCCGGACCGGTAATCAGGATTTTCGCGACTTTCTTCAGTGATACGCAATTCAGAGTATTTTAAAACAGCCTACGACTCACACTCCTTCTGACTATTACTTGATTTCGTTGGAACTTGCGTAATTTCAGCACGAGTTCCAGAGTCCTAAATCGGTCTACCAACGAAATATCGCAAATTGAACGGATCACCAGCCAAAATCAAATTATCAGTTCAGGTATGCGGCTGCCGATTTCTGCCCTGACTAAGGACACTACGATCTTGCATACTGGAATCGTGTGTTCGAATCCCGTCCGGTAATACAGGCCCTGCGATGGGGCGACCCGCCACGCCCACGACGTTCACTGGTGTTTCGACACAAGCTCTGTGGGAAATTGTAAAGTGACCACTTGAACAGAAGTAACGGGCAAACCGGAGAAACGTGCTCAGAATGTTAACTAAAGATGGCATCTCGAGGAGTACGTGCAGGCATGGAGTATCGAAAGAGAAGCCCGAGACACGCACGTTAAATTCAAATTCCGTAAAAGCTGAAAGTATCATTTACTAAAACAGATAAAACCCTCAGACATACTACTTGATTTTGTCTGTTCAAAACGCGTACAGAAAGAGAATATGAAAATGTTCCAATAAATTCCTAAAATCGATCACAAATCATCGTATAAGCCTGCTACATCTATTGTCCAACCAATCAAATATTCCGACTTGCATCCTGTGACACTTTACCCTAACAGCCAGACGTGTCCAAGCTGTTAAAGTATGCCGACGGTTAACTTTCCAACAATTCTTTAAATTACAAGAGTCTGGGCAAGAATCTCGGATGGGAAATGAGAATACAATTTTGGCGGAGAAACCGAATATTTGAAGACAAAGACGGGGCATGAATGAAACAGCACATTGATATACACAACAAGAAAATGTATTTTACTAATGTGAAATTTATTCAACTGCGGGACAGAGGAGTTTGGTTCTGGGATCTCGCCAGTGCTGCTAATCCCTTCAGCGCCTAATTCACTGCCCAATCGTAAGGTGACAATGTGAATGGATGTTAACCGAACAGACATTCAGCAGTACTGAGCGAGTGTGGGTGTTTGAGAACAGGGTAGTGAGGACAGAATACAGAACTACGAGGGAGGAAGCAACAGGAGAGTGAAAAAAAACCCTGCATAATGAAGAACTTTCTGTAACGATATGGGCTTAAACTAGAGGACAAGTGTGCTTTTGTGAACAAGATAATAAACCTTCTGATTCCATTACTTGATCAGCTAAACGACTACAAGCTTCTCATAAAGCCCTCTACTCCATTGAGACAGCCAATTCCATATCCACAGTCAAAGCTGTGTGCAACCGGAAAATGACCGTGTGACGCGAACTGCTGTGCTGCTTGGTTGCATGCCTGCCCCGTCACGCTCTCTGCCTCTAAAGGACACTGTATACAATTGTATTTAAAAGTTCTGAAAGTGCTTGTGACCACTGTACTACTTGGAGTGCCTTCTTGAGTAAATCGAAATAACTATCGCAAAATTCGCACCGATAGCTGGCAAATCAAACAGCATTAAACAAGACAATGACCGGCTGCGACTTGAGACGCAATCTAGCTGCAGAATGAAAACTTCGTATTACATGACATAGAAATTATGCAATTTCTATACTTTCACGATCATATTTTTGTATAAATATGCCGAGACAGACGACGTTCCTTCATCAGTCGTCTCCTACTGCATACTGAACATTATCAGGACTGTGACACTGAAATAACGTTAAGAGTTTATACCAACGAGAAGTTTCTTGCGAGCAGCGATCCAAGTTCCAGAAATAACCACCAGACGGCGAGTACTACAAGGCAATACAATTATGGCGTTTGGCAGGAAGATGGCATCTAGCATGGTGCAACATTTCCTTGTGCGTCCGGTGCGATTGACTATTGCTAATACTAGATTACAGCTTATTCGCTGTCAAAGTATAGTAGCGGAAAAATTAGTTTATTCGGAGTACGGAGACGTCACGAAGGTTGTTCGTCAAGAGAAAGAGAACCTGCCAGCTCCCAAGGACAATGAGGTTAGCACTTTACAATAAGAGGTTAAGTCGAATACACTGACGGCAGGAACTGCGCAAACTCGGTGGAAAAAATATAAATTGTATTTAAATTGGTAGTATTGTTGGTAGTAACCAGGGGTAAAATGCGAGTTCAGGTTAGATGAGATTGATTACTTCCTTGCTGAGAATATTGTTTGTGGTTCCGGTAAAATGGGCGGAGTTTCGGATTCCCACAAGGGGTCCCATTTTTTAATATAATCCAGTTATCCAACACACACACACGCATATATAATCAAATGGGTAAATGGTATTAATTGTACTTTTCCCATTTTAGTATATTGCATTGAGCCACTGTTCTGTAAGACATTTATGGTATTGATGCATGTTTGCAGATTGTAGTTCGAATGTTGGCTGCTCCTATTAATCCTGCAGATATCAACACAATCCAAGGAGTGTATCCTGTAAAGCCTCCACTTCCATCAATCCCCGGGAATGAAGGAGTTGGAGAAGTTATAAGCCTAGGCTCAGGAGTTACAGATCTTAAGAAAGGAGACAGAGTGTTGCCCAGAGCTAACGCATGGGGTACGTGGCGAACACATGCAGTCTGTGATGCAAAAGAAATGATAAAAGTAAGTTGGTAAGGGAAAGTAATCCCTGTATTTAGGGTCAGAGACCTTTGCCTAAATTATCTGCATGTTTGAAGTTTTACTTTGTCATTGTAACTCATCTGATTTCCTTCCACAACTTAGCACTTCATCCAGTCCCATCACACATTATGAACATCAGACACTAATAATAGCTCTCAGTCATTTAAATAATCTTTCATTGTGGAATCATTATCACTGTATTTCTTTTCTTGTTATTAGAAAAGTCATGTTTGTTGCACCCAAAAGTCAAAAGAACTGTCTTATTGGTGGCCAAGACATCTGTATATTATTTGACATAAATTTTGTTTGTGTGACTGAAAAGATGAACACAAAACAGGGCTGCAACATGTCATAGATTACAATGAATGTTGTAGTCTTAATACATTACAGACTTTTGTTTTAGATACCAAATAATATTGGTATTGTTGAGGCAGCTACGATGACTGTGAATCCGTGCACTGCGTACCGTATGCTGCGTGACTTTGTGAATCTTTCAAGAGGAGATACAGTTATACAGAATGGTGCAAATAGCGCAGCTGGACAGAGTGTTATTCAGTTGTGTCGAGCATGGGGGATCACTTCTGTGAATGTTGTTAGAAATCGGGAAAACATTGACGAACTGAAAGCCTTTTTAACGGATTTGGGCGCCTCATATGTTCTTACTGAAGAGGAACTCAGGTAATAATGAGGTCTATTAGACTATAGATCACATAGTTCATGATGTATTCTATGACTCCTTGATCCTGTCAGTTTAACATTAAGAGTGAATTTTAAACTGTTCTTATTCTGTTTAAATTTAAATAGAACAACAGAACTGTTCAAGAAGTCTGTCGTGCCAAAACCTAAGCTCGCATTCAACTGTGTGGGTGGTAAGAATGCACTGGAGTGCCTCCGCCACCTTGATAACGGTGGCATTATGGTGACGTACGGTGGGATGTCCCGGGAACCAGTTACTGTACCCACTTCTGCTCTCATCTTCAAGGATATTAGTGTTCATGGATTGTGGATGACACGCTGGAGCATCAATCATGCTGGGACAACAGAGCAGACTGAAATGTACCGAGATATCTTAAATATGTATGCAGAAGGAAGTCTTAAAGCTCCTGTCCACAAACTCATTCCCTTTAGCAATTACAGAGAAGGACTTGAAAATACAATGACTGTTAAGGGATTTTCAGGGCTCAAATACATCTTTGATTTTCAGAGCTAGTTATTAGTTGTGATTTTTAGGTTGCTCAAATAATTTAAGTTATATGCAAAAATGTTAAATTTGTATGTGATAAATGAAGGGAAAATTAGTGGGAGGAAGTTAATCTACGTGGTACATTTGTTGTGCTAAAAACACTTCATTGAAAATTTGTTATAATTTTCTTATAGTCTGTACAAATACAATGAAATGCCAGTGAACTGAGTACAAGGCATAAAAGAACTCTATTTTCAAAATACTTGTCTCGCCCCAGTCATTTTACCATATAAAGTATGGCGAAACCTACAAATTAGGAACGTCTTCATAAGAGACCTGTATAACTGTTGGTTTAAGCAAAAGAAATTGTATGTATGTATACAAGCACTTCAACATAAATTTAATGAATGCTAGTAACAAAATTCCTATTTAGAAACATCTTAATCACACGGTATCTGTAGTAAAGCAACAAAATTAAATTATCTACCATATCAGGTCCAGGGATATGGAAAGTGATAAATAATTCATTTCAGTAAATGATCCATTCAAACCCCATCCTGATAACAGTTCTAAAAATATGAAGACAATTATAGTGCTTCCACTGCAATGATTTTTAATTTGTAAAATCTTATATAACAAATTTGACACTGAAAAACAACATATTATATGCATCTGAATTGCTAGTCGTTATACAGTGTTAACCAGTTCAGAAAATTAATTTGTTTTATTAATGCTACTAACTTCATCAGCAAATAGAACAGAATGTATCTGTAACAGTCTTTTTAGGGCTTCAGAAGATGTACAAAATTTGGTTGCTTTTATTTTATGTGCTTCTGCTGTGATTATTTTTGCATTTTCAACTTATGTTTAAGAAGGCATGTCTTAATGATGCATTTACAAAGCAAATATATCCATTTGTTTTGTTGTTTATTTATTGTTATATGATGTAATTTTAATTAATAACCAAAACATGTGTAAATTTAATTTTGTGTTGTTGTTTTTAACATGGCCTCATGTGCCCCACCCTCCCAATATTGAGAAATGGTGATTCCTGTCCTTTGATGAGCTCACCCAACCAATAGCTTTGCTGTTGCCATAACAAAGTGCAGATATTTTTAAACGTGGTTCTGTAATAGTGATGTCCCATGCACAGGTCTAAGAGAATCAAGAGGGACTGGAACCAAAAGGAGCATACAACCTCATTTTCAGTGCCACTAGTGTTAATTTATAGGGTAAAAACATAAACACCATAAAATACCATATCAGCTGCTCATAAGGAGGTTGGTAGAAATTAAACATCTAAAAGTAAACATTTGCCTTGTCACCAGAAATCATAATGCAAAGGTAACTAATGTATCTTCAAACACTGTGACAAAAGTCCACGTTTAGGGATAACGCAAATTAACGAGAATTGACTTAACCTAGAAAATATTTGCTACCTTGCATCTCAGAATATTTTATCTTCCCTTCATCCTATTAAAGATGAAAATATACAAAGGTATAATGCTACCTTTTTTGTCTCAATACAAAAGAAGAGACCATGTGGGAGACCTACATTTGGAGGAAGGATAGTATTAAAATGGATCTTAATAGAATAACGTGTGATAGTGTGGACTGGATTCATCTGGTTCTTGTAAATATGGCAATGAACCTCCAGGTTCTACAAAAACCAGGGAATATTTTTCCCACCTGAGAAATTACCAGCTTCTCAAGGACTCTGCTATGGAGTTAGTACCAATTATGGAATCCATAATTACATAATATCTCCAAGATAAGAACTGTTCCAAGTATTGTAAGTATGAAGTGTGAAATTATTACTTTTAACAGTACTGAACTCCAATGAAATCCTGTAAATAAAATGACACACTGTATGCAAACAGTAAACATACAATGTTTGTCTTCCTCCTCAGTAAGACCACGCCCTTCCTGGGTGTCAACTCACTCTACATAACAGTTCGAATCCTTCAGAAACGTGACAAGGTTCATTATATTTGGGAACAATGATTACTCAAAATTGCATTCAAGAAGAAATTAAGAGTAAATTAGATTCAGGGACTGCTCATTACCACGCGATTATAATACTCTTTTCTTTCCATCCCTGATTAAAATACACAAAATTATAGATTGTCTAGTTTTGTACTGGTGTGAAAAATGGTCTACATTAATGAAAGAACACATACTGTGGGTGTTTGTTAACAGAGTGCTAAGGAGGCTGGAGAAAACTGCATAGTGATGCTGGTATTCGGTTTTCAACGTTTCATAGAAACATCGTGCATCCGTTTTCGTCCGCAAGACCGCAATTAAAAAAAGGTCACGTAAGAAGTTAGTTTCTTTGTACTGATACAAGTTAAATTAAATAATCCACTTCCATATCGTTACGATTTTAACGCCACCGAGTTCTTAATATGCATGACATTAGTTGGCAGATCAATGTATTTTCGTCGACTTATGCTGTTAACCTTTCAGACACTCAGCACCATGGTAAAAGATGACTGTCTGCCAAAATTTTACTAGAAAAGTGGCAGCTATAGTCTACCTGTAGATGGTAAATTGCATAGTTTCATACGACAAATGCAGTACTATGACGAGAGTTAAACTGCTTTTCGAGCTTTGCTTTTCCTTATCACAGTTACGTATAAATTTATTGGTTATACTGTCCGGCTTACCTTAGCCGCTTCGCACGACGTTTGTACCATTTGAAAGTCAGGATCCTCTTCCGTTCATGTCGAAACAAAATACAGAAATCCACTGTTAGACTGGCGATAGTTCTGTTGTGTTCGAGAATTTTCACTTTCACTCGCTCAAAAAATGATGCAACTAAATAGTGTGAATTGAATTTGGCGGCATGACTGTTCAGAACAAACTGACAACACCGGCTTGAAACTACGCACAAATGCCGTATTTATGTTTATCGAATATAAAAAGCAAAGCTGTCCCACTACACGCCACAACTCCTACTCATTCTTACCCTCGGCACTGTATAGGGGTGAGTGGGCAGCGTCACGCTCCAGCCGCGCTTTACTACCGGTAAAGGACCACGATACCCATTGGTTAGGAGGCTGGGTGAGCTCCATGACAAAATCGATTTGATATTTATCGATTTATTAAAGTAATTTACATTCCTGAAATCGAGAATAAATTATTTATTGGTTCGAATTTCAATGTGGTTAAGAATTTACAATGAAATGCAATAATGGAAAATATGTGGAAATTACCACGGGCATGGGCACAGACTACAGCGGTGCCCTGGGGCTCTGGCACAACTGACGATTTTAGCGCGTCCTGAAAACACCCTGAACTCCTCTTACCACCATTTTCATTTCTATTCCATTTCTCCATAATAATTTTTTAATCAACATAATTAGGTTCTCACTTGGGCCTAAAAATGTCTTCTGGATTGTTGCACAATATAGTCTGGTTGAAGTTTCTTGACGTTTCGGAGGTGCCTGCTGTCTCCACCATCAGGGTTCTGATAATGGAAGCAGGAAGTACATCTAAAGTGTCGGTAAACTTCTACCAGACTATATGGCAAAGTAACACAATACAGTCACCTTCATACTCATCAGCATGAGAACCTCAAATCTCACTACTTTTGTTGAATGTTTGTAGTTGTCTTTGGTATTTCCCACCTCCACATTTTTATAGGTAGTGGAGCGTTGAATTGTGTATTATTTTTACTACCTGTAAGCATATTCTTGGAATTCAAGAGCTGCAGATGTGAGTGAACAGTCTGTAGTTGGACTCTATTCATTCCTTTTGTTTTTGGTGTTCTTTGTCATCAGATGCATTTTGATTCCTTTGAGATTGTCTGCCAGAAGAATTTATAACATGAACCTGAGTGCTCTCTGAGATTTTGAAATGTCAGTGACCATAATTACAGTACAGCAGATAACAGGACTGAAAGGTAGCAGAGAGTGAAGAATGCATAGAAATTGAAGTCTGTTCCAAAATTTAGGTTAATTTGGCATTTCCATCCATGCCAATGTTTTCCTCTTGGGCCAGGTTTATCATTAGTTTCACGATCCCTGCCCTTAGGATATGAAATGTTTGTAAGATAACTTAAAGGGTAGCTGCAAATCAGGAGGGTATTAAAGTGGTTCACTACATTATATTCATATTGTATTATTTCAGCATCACATTCGTGAGTACACATTCGTTTGCAACGAATTTATCTTCATAGCATGGTATTTCACCACAGGGACAACTTTTACTACTCAGCCACACATCTTTGGGTATAAAATGTTATAAACTGATTTTACACTGAGATTTCAGGTTCCCACAACTGTGGGTATGGAGACGACTGCCTTCTGGGATATTTAACCATGAAGTTTCGTAAAAATTGAACAGCATTTCAAAGGAGCTTACTACTTCCACCATCATTGCTCTCTGAAATGTCAGGCAATTTCTGTTTGACTACACAGCGCAACATGAAACAGAATTATCTTCTTCTTCTTTATTACGCTGTCTCCTTTACAGGAGGTTGGTGACATATTATGAACAGGATCCTTCCATCCTTTTCTCAGACTGGGACCTGTTCATATATGTTTTTTAGGCAGGTGATACAGAAGTGGTTTGCCATTGCCTTCTTCTGTGTGTAATTGTTGGGATGCCACGGAGAAACTGGGGAAGCCCCGGAGGAAAACTTCGTGTTGCCTAGACCACGGCCTTGCCCAACACTGCTAGACCACCGTGGCAAGGATTACAAGGCCACCGTTCTAACTGCTAGACCACCGTGGCAGTAGAATTATCTGATTACAACTAATATTTTGTTCTCTAGGTACCTGTGATCAAACTTCCATATTTCCCTCTTCACCGCATATGATCGGATGTAATGATGCTTCCAGAACGCGAAACATTTCCTCCATACTTGTATGTGAACACCGGCTGTAGTCCGGCGCATTCTGTTATTGCACAGCAAATTTTAAAGGCAAGACCATCTCATTCTGCCGCTCAGCGACTAAGACGAATGTGACAGAAGGCATTGGTAATACTCTATTCCTGTTTTCACTAAATGAATGCACTTTATAGAGTTTATACATATAATGCAATACAGAAATGTGATCACTGCGATGAAATACAAACAGGCTTCTCTCTGTAATAAAAGAATACACATACACATGCACACACCAATCCTCTCCCTCCCCAAACCCCAAGTACTTGCAAAAATATATTCTGGGTGGGAGGGGGGTATTATGAGCAGAGTGACTTAGATAAGTCATTTTCGTTTTGAATATGAGCAACATGAAAAGGGAAATCTTACTAAATATTTTTTTCAGGAAGAAAGTCATGAAATATGGTAACATAAGTAGTCATTTGTACTTTGTTTACATCAGAGAGAGGGAGAGAGACAAAACACATACTGTACTTGCTAGCACTCTGTAATGCAAAGATAAATTACAATTAAAATTAAATCATCACCTAGTCCCATTAAAGCAAATGCTTCAGTTTCTTAAAGTGTGCAAGAAAATACATTATATCAGCAGGGTTATTTGCCAGGCTTACCCACAATGCATTGCAGATATTCACTGGACAAAACAGATTCAGAAAAATGGGAATTTACTACTGTTGTGGTTCTTGGCTAAGAGTAATTTAAAAACAGGTGTTTATATGTACAAGAAAGAAACGTGAGGATACAAAAACAAATTTTCTTATAAGGTGTGTATATAATTTGAAGTTTTCACAGTGACTGAATGCAACAAAGTCTTGTCAAATGATCATCCATGTTAAACAGAACAAGTTTGCAAAATTTGGAAGACTGTCTCTGTTTCCATCTTCCAGCTGTGACTACTAGGTAGGATGAGTGAACACCAGACCCTGCCCACAATATCCCTATTGGTCCACTTTGTGTGTATGAAACAACAGAAAGCTGCATCCTTTTTACGTCAATCCCTGATGATGGAAGCAGAGACAGTCTCTGAAATGCTAAAATGGCTGATAACCCAAAAGACTTCATTATATTGTTATATGTCTCTGTTACTCAAGTCTGAACCTGTGACCTTGAAACTGCCATGTACCATTCACCTGATAATAAAATGTAAGAATAACACATTACCAAAATACTGATTGCACAAAATCTGAGGGTGTTGTTCAGAAGAATATCAAAGCAAAAATATTATTTCAATAACAGATTTTATTGAATATAAATAGCATCATTTCAGCAGTTTGCTCTCAAAAACACTAATGGACTAGGTTATCTGGTTTACTATTTTTGTGTCTTTTCATTTATGAATAAACTCACATTTTGAATAACATAGTTTTCAAGATACTGACAAGGAGCAAGGCTGCTTATATTCTTTCTGTTTCATGTGTACGATAATGGAAGAAGAAGATGAAGAGAATATTTTACTTCATATGGAAGGAAGGAAAGACAGAAATGCTGTGAGACAGAGAGGATGTGGAAGGCTGATTGGCTCTGAAGAAAGAAACCAGCACATATACCAGGCCTTGATAGCAACATATTTCATAGTCCTGAGGCAAACATACAGTGCACGGGCCCACAAAGCATGCACACCGAGTATAAAATAAATTACCAATAATAATCTGCATTGCTTCGGCAACTGTACAACTTCCTGCCATAATCATGAGGTCTGGATTGAAATACACAAGCCATGTCTGTCAAAATTACTCGACTCAAAATGTCAAAACGTACCACTCCACTGACTCACAGAATCAATCTGTCATATTAATTACATAAAAAAAATTCCCTGCATTTCCCTCTGATATAGTTGTATGGTACTTATTAAAAAACATGCTGCCAAATGTATGGTACATTGTTATATGGTTACATGGTGCTTTGTAAGCTACAGTAATTCACTATAGTACTGACGCATTTTACACGGTAACATCTGATGGGGACATATTTCAATTTTACAGTGTCTGTCTCTTTTCTTCCTATATGATGAGTATAATGAAGAGTACTGAGGTGGGATTTTTCTTGTGGAAAAACAACGTCGTATGTTTTTTTTATAAATGTCAAGCACTTTTCGGGTATAAAAACAGAACATGATGATGAACTTGAAATGACAGATCAAGTATGTATTATGATTCTTGTTTATGAACACTTGTACTGAACTGAAAAATCACTTGGTGCCATTCATTAGGCTGTTCACTTTGCTTCTTGGCACATGTTTTGCAAAGGCACTGCTAGAATCATCTTATCTCTCTTTGCACTACAAATCACACTCTTCAGTAGGAATGAGACTGCAACATAGCAACTTCCCATCTGGGACACAAAAAACAACGAGGACTTGCTCAAAAAAATTATGATAACAACACAGCCATACTTATATTCTCCCGTCCGGAAACCAATGCCTATCGTGGCTCTCTTCACAAACTGACATGCTTACAGCTTTCTATGTCACTTGGGTCTGCGAAAGTACCGCAGAACGATGTAGCCAAGAATCCGGAATATGAGAAGGAACAGAAGTAAAACTAAGGTGTTTGCCCAGAGAGGTAAGCTGACACCCTGCGCTTCTAAGATGGCAGAGACCGGAATGTGAGAAGAGGAGTTGGTGGTGCACACATCGAACTTGGACTGCACTGCGCACCTGCAACAGTTATACGCAAAGTAACATTTTATATGTTACAATCATAAAACAATTACACCAGTTCAAAAATTTAATCTTTTAGCTCTTGTAGCACTTGTTATAGTGACAGGAATTACTGATGGTGCTGTTTCTCTGGACAGACTCGTAGGTAGAATTTTGACTCCTACCTGTTTGTCCACACAGCATAAAAACCCAGAACAACAATACTGTCATCCACTGTTGTGAGAGAGAACCTCCAAACTCAAACAACAGAACTTACTATTTACATCATCGCATGCAAATGTGTGAATTCTGTATTCAGCCTTTACAATGAACCAAAGCTAAATATGGAACATCTTTGAAAAACTGCTGTTTAATATAAACAGATTATGGCTCAATAAGGTTCTGTTCTGGAAGCATAAAATCTTGATGTTGCATCAGTGGTCATACCAAATTAGTAAACAGAATTCATATATGAGGATAAGTAAAGTTCTCCTTCTGCCTTAGAGATAATGTGGTGAAAGAAATCCACCCATCCTTAACTGTAGTACCAAAGGGGAAGGTTTTTACTCCCACAGTACGAGGTTGGGTAAGTGAGCCCCACATCCATTCTCTTTCCAGCAGTAAAGAAAATAGTCCAAACAACACTACAGGAATCAAATAAATCATGGCTGTGCAATTACTCTACTGATATATTTTATTTACTTTATTGGTGTGCCTTCACTGAATTCTACAATCTGCATGTTCTGGTAAGCGTAGTGGACCATGCTCAAGTACTGCATCCACTTGAGCCCCTGAGGGATGTTTGTTGCAAGATAGCCACCAAATAACTGTGTTGCCAGCGTATATAGAGCGCTGATAGTGATGGATACCTGCATGTCCATGCAAGATGCTCCCACGAAGAACCCAACACTCTAAAAAATTCAGAATTTGTATCAGTGCATGAGTCTCTATATGTTGTAATGTTTATATTTCCATGTGCCAGTTTGTCTGTGTATGATATGCTTTGATTTACATTCATACACATTTATGGAAATTACATGTAACGCTTCTGTGAACATGACACAGGTCTCTCATATACACGTGCAACCGCTGTTGGTAATATTCAAGAATATCATTTGCCTCATCAAAGCACATACCAGAGAGGGAATTGTAATTACAGATTCTGGTACCTTTTAAATTACTAGTCTGCAGTCTTCATCTATAGATAGCAATAATTCCCCTACTAACTTCAATGTGATGTACAGCAGTGACTGCTGTATTTTCTATTTATCTAGCTGAACTACATAACACAACATGTGCTATAAGAAAGGCATGACAGGATTTTTAGTTTGAGACAGCCAGCTGGAGCCATAACATAAGCAACACAACATAAACATAACTCAGAGTTCTGTGTCATGTCCAACTTGGAGTACAAGCTGTTTGCAGTAAATATGCGATAGTATACATAATCTACAGCACTGAATCATATTTAATGAAGCCTTTAAAAGTTGCAAAATGTACAACAATTTAAACTTTAAAAACTCAAACAGGAAGTAGGCAAATTAGGATTAGCATGAATTTGGCACAGTCAGCAAGAGAATAATACTGACATGTAAAATAATTAAAGAAAGATATGATGATGCAGAATGACAGAATTTGTTTACAGACATTAGCAAAAATACTAAATTGGAATTCTAGCTGTAACAGGTCTCTAGGCCTATGAAAATGAAGGCTAGCAATGATGACAATATTCTGTTTTGAAATGAAACAAAAGTGCTGAAAGGAGAAATATAGAATTTGTACATGAAATGAGAAAAGTAAAACAGCACAGCTGAACATAGGGACTTGGAAACTGAAAGTGAGTAGAAGAAGGTTCTGAGAAAGAAACATATGTCCTGTGTTTGACGGTTAGAAGATGCTAAACGTCGTATTAAAATGTTTAAAATCAGGAAAGTGGATAAACAAATTTTTGTGTAATAAATGGCTTGAAACATAAGATAATAAACTGTACTACTGTAGCTGATTTAAAATATATTGTAAAATACTTATTTAAAAACAGATGTAAATGGGAGAACAGATTTACTATGATACAAAACCAAGCAATGATATTATGAGAAATTTGAATTGTATGAAAATGATTCATACACCACAGCATTAATACATATACAAGTGCAGGAGCTGTAATGGTATCTACCTGAGCAACGATGGTGTTGAGAAGCAGGAACCCTAGAAGGGTGAGAAACACAACGGTGCTACGGAGACCCAGCATGGGATATGAGATCAGGTGGTACACAGCTGGGAGTGTAATTGTGAGTGGTAGTTCCCCCACCATCTTCGCAAGGTAGTAAGCTGACAGTCTGTATGCGCCAGACAACCTTTCCTTGTTGATAACCTCTCGCTCAGGGGGAACTACAAGTTGAACAACAAAGACAACAACATAAGTTTGGAAATACACACATGGTATAACAATTCTGGCACATTTACCTGAATTTGACCTCTACAGAAAACCAAAGAATTTCCTGACTCAGGATTATTCCCCTATCTTTTACCTTTGTGAATGGTTGGGGAATCACCCACCCTTTTTGAATGAACAGTGAATTCTTATGTTGGAGATTCAGCAACCAGTCATTTCAGAGTATACAGATGCATATAGGTCTTCATGTAAAGTTTCCATTATTATTAACTGATTTAAAATGAAACTGGAATGTACTGTAAAATTTTTGTAAAACTCACCAATATCAAAGTTCATGAAAATCCACCCAGCCATTCTCGAGTTAAGTGCATATGGAAACTAAATTATTTAATGTGCTCCATTGGGATGGAAATGCTCTTAACACACAACCGCCCCTCACCAACTGCAGATTTTAAGTGTCTGTGGGTTTTCACTTGTGACTGGAGACAGTGAATGCCTATCCATGTAGTGTGGATAAATTTTAAAAATGTGAGAATATGCTATTATGTTACACATCACCTAATAAAATTCTTATTTAAATACATATATTCAGGTTGGGTTTGGCCTAGAAACTTCTATTACAGTGTTTTTGTTGTTTTCCTCAGTTCCTCCAGGCAAATAATGAATCAGAGAGTACCTTAATATAAGTTACAATTACTTCCAAATTATTCCCAATTCATAGACATCCTTCCCATTTAATGCTGTTTCAATCTGTGCAGTTAAAGAATATCTATATGAAGTAAGAAAAAAACAAGTAACATAGAATGATTTTCCATGTGAAGACAACACTTGTAATATGAAGACACCATCAAAGTGTGCAAAGTGGACGCAATATATCATGGAGAAGAACATTAAGCCCTTCTTTACACTTTAATTAGCAGTACAGCATATTCATATTTAACAGCTACTCACATGACGACAAAGCACCAAAGTGTGCAAAGAGCATCCAATATGTAGTGGAGAAGAACATCCAGCCCTGGATGTCATGGAGTGATTCTTCCTTATGCTCTAATTGAAACCACAGTAGACCAGCCAGAACACCTAGTGCTACTGTCTGCACCCAGTTCAGCTTTGACAACATCCTCGGCCGAGCCTCCTGGAAGTTACGCTGTGACAATACCTACCAAAAACACATGTGCTCACATTGCAGTTACCTCACAAAATATTGTTAGGTAATCAGATTGAGAAGTATAACATGGGTGGAACGTATAGAATGCATTGGACAGAGAAGAAATCAAGCAAAATTTTATTTGAAGAAAAAGCGAAATAGAGGGAAAGACCTATGCATAAATGGAAAGGTATTATTAAAATAATATGAAAGAATTAAACTCTAAGAATGTAAAATGGGTTCAAGTGACTAAGAACAGGGTCCGACAGTTGGTTCTTTAGAACATTACGATTCTTTGGGTTCCATAGAAGGAAGAGAATTTTTTTACTAGATGAGTAACTAGTTTCTTAAGGAGTCTGCAACATTGAGTTAGATGTTACACATTTATTGTGCCCTTTGTTAAGTATACAGTTGTATTGGTTAAATACTTTCATAAACTTATTAATTAAGAGAGTTCATAATGGTAAGCTCAGCTTATGAAGAACTGCATGAATTTTGGTAAAATTTGATATCGAATCCCAATACTAACAGGCATAATAAAAGTAAAGTAAAAATAAGTAAAGTTTACCCACTATACACCAAGTAGGCACTTGGGGGAAGAAAAATCCTCTAACCTCGTGAGGGATTGAACCCTGGTCATCCAGTCTGTAGTCAGTCACTATACTGACTGAACTACCTGGATCATCCAGCATACTAATTTGATTTCGGGCTATACTGGTATCAAATTCATTGCACAAACAGAAGTGTAAATCTTCAATTCAATTTGAAGTTCACATTTCTTCCAAACATGTTCTTACTATTCTACATTCCTCACTGGCCTTTATGCTCATTTATTGCTGTTACAAATTTTATACTACAATAATTCAAATTAATTCCTCTTCATATCTTTATATGTGTAATGGCACCGATTTAAATCCTCTGTAATGTGTTTCAAACAGGTTGAACTCCTTTATGTCAAGAGTAACATTTGTTTATCTTTTAATTGCTGCATAATATTTAAATCTTGAATGAATATTATATGTGTATTGAATCACATTAAATTCCTTCATCTTCGTTATGTAAAATAACTTCATTATATTAAATCAGATTATATTTAAAAATACAATTATTTTTTATTTGTGGTTTATTTAATGATATAACACATACAACACAAAATCAGTAATAAGGAAGTGAAAGCATAGTTATGTTCTGTTCCGTTATATGTTATGTTATGTGTTGTATTGTGTTATGTTACATTATTTTTCATTATGTATCGTTGTGTTGTGTTGTGTTATGTTATGTAGCATATAGCTGTCTGTTGGAAAGTGCAGAAAATATCTCTCCATTTTGTACAAAGACTGCATAAAAATTTAAATGATCAAATAATGTCATTACAAGAAATTTTAAATATGGTATATATTCTTCCGCATGGTTGTACAGTTAATTGATCAACCTTGGCTTCCTAATATAAGGAAAGTTTCTTAATCTACTTAAGACATTTGGTAGGACTCCTTGGACAATTGATCAGCTCATCACTAGGCGTCTACCTATACAGGACAGTACAACACAGAAAGACGCAGACAAACATCCACGCCCAGTGGGATTCAAACCCACGGTTCCAGTGGCTGAGCAATCAAGGCCCATGCCTCAGACCATGCAACCACTGTGACTGGCAGTGTGGTATATATTTTATAAAATGTAAAGAAGAAAGACTGTACCCTGTGTTGATTAGTTTCCACAACAAAATAAATATCTACAATATCAAGGTAACAAGGAAACAGTTGAGTTGGTATGTTACATAGTGACTGTATCTAACCTACTTATTTTTTTCAATTCCTGCAAATAATCTGCTTCAATTGCAGCTGCATAATGCAATACTTCCAATTAGGTTTCATACAATTTTTTAACATTTCTTTGTGCAAGCTATTCTGAAATATGGAACATACCTTGAACTGTGTCCAGAAGCTGGTTGGCCATTGCCAGCTTACATCATCATCTGAACTGGTGACTGACGACGATGCGTGACTCTGGTTGTCTAGCCACAGCGTCTTCCCTTCCTCATCCTTCATTGCTATAAGTAACATAAATTAAAATTACAATACCTCCAAAGTAAATGTATCGAAGAAGCACAGTTAACCGGAAAAATAGGAAGCCTGTACAGTCATACACCACACTTAAACAGCAACAAAGCATGCAAGAAAAACTTAAAATATCATGCTAAGCACAATAGTATAACTGGTACATCCTCAAATCATTTCCATTAATATGAAAGTGTTTTAATGAATTTTAATCTATCCTACATATTAAAAAGGAGGAGCACAGACAGATGCTGCCTGAGCAGTAACATAAGTGGCATTACGTGTTAGTAATGATTCCTACAGGAATATACTGCAGTGCATGGGGGTTCCTACCTATTGTGGTGTAAACATTGTTTTGTGCTCCAGAATCGACCACTGCACACATTTCGACGGTTTTTTTAGCTCCAAGGTGATGGGCAGCATGACCGTTCCTAGATCCTGCCCACAAATCCCTCTGGCAGTGACAACTAGTGGAGCCAATGTGGCCTGGGGGCAAGGTACAAGCACATGTCACCAGGCAGTGCAGTTGCCAACACCTGATTTGTTTTCACTCTCTAGTTTGTGGCTCATATAAGAAAGGATGAAGTACAGAGTACACAAGCAATGATCAGAAAGTAACTTAATACTGAAAGAGGAAGACTAAGTTGTTGTCTATATTAGTTGTTACAGCAAAATGTTATAATTCCTTGAAATTATATAAATTAAAATTATTATTCATGGTAAACAAATATAAATTTATTTAAAACAGATGCAACCAAGAGACATTCAGTATAACACAAACATCTGCAAATACTGAAATGGAGGCATGTTAAATTTTTACAAAATTTCATCTCAGTAATTCCATTCCATTTCAGAGTGAATCTTATTTTAATCAAATTATGTGGAAAATTTGCAACTTTGGAGTTATTGAAGAACCCATGCATAAGCGTGTACTTATTTTGGAACATTATTATATCATTGGGTTAAATAATAAAGAATGACACCGCTGTTGTCTCATATTTGATGTACTGTCTGCATCAACAGGTGTGACAAGATTGCAAACAACTATACCAGTATCAGTCATGAACATCGATTCAATAAAAGTTACTTTCCTATCATCCTTGGTTTGTAGATACACTGAAGCATGCAAGAGAAAGATTTAAAGGGATTTGTCAATTCAAACCCAACAGTAATTCACTATTTCCAAAATCTCTAGCAATACACAACATGTGATTTGAACATGTAAAACAGACCATGCACAGACATCAGAAAAATAAAATAAATAAAAATAAAAAATAAAAAGACAGGAGAAAAAGAACTGGGATGAAAGCTTAAATATTTCAGACCTGTTATGCAAATACACATTTTTATGACACAACATTAAAGTCTCAGACAGGTGGACCAGTTTCTCTGCTTGGTCAGTACACCCTGAGTCATGTAATGAAGTAATAATGTCAACGAATTCAGAGTTACAGAATTAGTCATGGTTTTTGGCACAACATTAACACAGCTTATCACCTGAGAGGATTTGATAACATACTAAATTAAGTCTTTCCAAGCACCAGCACTTTTATATATTCTTAATGAATTGTAAAAAGTGAATGCATACAGGTGACGTCATATATGTCTGTTCACGCGCTGAATTTCCAAGACTGTCCCATGAATTTCAATAGAACCTGCAGTGAAAGTTATTTTGCATATTTAATTTTGGTTCATACAGGTACAATCTAACTAAAATTTTACATGAAGCTCACATCAAATGCTGATTTTCTCAAGAAATACTCATTTCACAAATATGTGATACAGCCATCTAGAGCGAGATTCTCTTATCATAGCAAGAAAGCACCCGAGCTTGAAATTCTTATCATTGTAGGAAACATGTACAGCAAAGGACCCTGATCATCCAGAGTAAAGTTTCATAACTTAACCCAGAGAAATACTTAGCAAACCATACCATTTGTTTGCAGATGGCTCTCTTGGTAGTTGTTTAGATATTTATCACAGATGGTGACTGAATTTGTGAAGTAGTCTGGCAGAAGCTCTTGAGGGTAGTCAGGCTGGCTGCGGGCATCTTTGGAAGCTGCTATGATCTTCTCTTTCATCTCCTCGCTTCCCTTCACTTGCTCCACTAAAAAAGAATGAATTTATTTGTGTTCTGAAGCAAGTCTAAAAAAATACAAAACAAGAGTCACAAATTTAAGATGTGGCAACAAATAGACAAAATAAGTCAGATATTTCTTATGGCCACAGTTAATGTCATCTCAAGCTGAGAATTAGCACCACGGTTTGCAATACACCTCACCTCATCATAACGACATCTTTATGTTAGCTTTTTGATTGTGTAACTTTGATAGTATTGATAGTAGTGATTTGACAATCTCAATTACATGTGGTGAACACAAATGACGGAGCTCCCTTTTCATGGAGTCTTCTCCAGTCTCATGTCATTTCATTCCTCGTAGATACAAGTAGTCTCCTCAGCATCCCCTTCTGAGATGACAGTATGTCTTATGGTGCTTAACAGTAATATTACTTTCCTTTCTCCTATTCTACCCAAGTATTTATGAATTTAAATGCAAATTTTTTAGCTCCAGTGAGGATGTGCCTTCTTCTTATGCTATGGGTCATTATGGTGCTGTGCAAGTAAAGGCGTTATACAAATTATAAATATGAAAGGGATTACAAAGTAACTCATGACTGAATGATTCATTACAAGATATTTTATTATGTACAATGATTACTGTATTCCCACAAGCAAAATGGTTAGAACACACACACATATGCATAATAGTTAGTGTACTCACATATGAAGTCTGCTGGGTTGTACTGAGGCATCACTGTCAGACCAATATTACTGAAGAAGTCCACTACCTTACGAACATATCCGAAGTAGGCAGTCTGTGCAGAAAAAAAAACTATAATATGTGAATTAGTATTCACAGTTCACTTCAGAAACAGTGTATGATCCCCATTTGATAGAAATCACTTCCATGCTATTTTACTGTATGCTGTCCTGAAAACCACAACTCGACATGCCACAGTGCTCACTCAGTGGAACTCTAAATCCAATCTTTTCATCATAAAATAATGTTAGTAAAGTCTGAAGTCTGATCACTCATCCAAGGAGTCCTACCAATGTCCAAACACATCTCGAAGCTTCAATCTAAGCCTCAGATGGAGGCGAACGATTGAAGAGGCCAGGGTTCAACTATGAACTGTAGCGACAAGGAAAACAAAAAGTCTGAAGTAGCATTCTGCTCCATGGAGTTAGCTATTTTTGACCAATAATGAATTATAAGTATGAGAATTGTTAGCAGCATGGAAATACAATAACTTTCCTTTTAAATGTGCAGATACAAATATAATATGAGGTGCAAACAGTACAGACATATTTTAATAGCAAATGTACCTGTCCATTACACAGCAGCAATAGTTTGTCAAACATGTGGAATATTTGTGATGAGGGTTGATGTACGGTGACAACCACTGTCTTGCCTTCCTTCTCTGCATACCTCTTGAGGCTTGACATGAGGCTGTATGCAGAATGGGAATCCAGGCCTGACGTGGGCTCCTGAAAGCAATAAAATTATCAAGGAGACTACAACAATATTATCACCTTAAAATGGGACAGATCAATTATTTATCCTCTTATTTTGATTTATATAATGCCACAATGAAGTCTTTGAGATTGATGCCTTCAACACCCAACGTGAAGACAGCAACTGTTTGTCACATGATGTTCTTTGGGTTTTGGAGCCATGAGGACTTGTCAGCAGATGCAAATGTTTTGGAAAAACATACTGTTTCCAGATTTCCGTCTTCTGGGTTGTTGTCCGTCATCAGGGCGATGAATTCATCACCCTGATGACGGAGGCAGTATGACCTCTGAAACGTTGGTTAACATCGACCAGACTACACAGCGCAACAACCCAGAAGACGGAAATCTTCATACTCACCGCTGTGAGAACCTCAAGTCTTACATACTGTTTCCACCTTTAGGGCTAACTAACTAACTAGTTAACTAACGAACTCAAAGGTTCATCACTGAATTAACCAAAGCCCTCCACCAGTCCCTGTCCTGGGCCAGCAAAATTCAATTGCCTTCAACTCCTATCTCCCATAGATCACACTTAATATTATCCTCCCATCTACGTCTAGGTCTCCCCTTCAAGCTTCCTGACCAATACCAGGTGCACACCTCTTGTCCCATCCATGTGCGCTACATGCCCCGCCCACCTCATTCTTCTTGACTTAATCACCCTGACAATATTGGGGTACAAATTTTTAAGTTTCTCATTATGTAGTTTTCTCCAGACCCCATCGTCTTCTCTCCTAGGCCCAAATATCCTCCTCAACACCCGATGAATAGGAATAATTATGGATTCCTTCCATTGTTGTGGCATCTCTTCCTTATCCCAAATTAACTGAATAAGCTTATGGATGTCCACATGCAACTTTTTGCCACCTGCTTTAATTAATTCTGCTGGAATTTGATCAATATGCGGAGATTTATAACTTTTTAACTTTCCAATGGCTAGTTCAACTTCATCTAAACTAGGTTATGGCACTAACAGTTCAGCTGCATGTGTTTTAATCTGTCTAACATCAACAGTCTCATGAAAATTAGACGTGTCTGGTTCTAAAATCCTTCTTTCCCCATTTCAGACATCGCTGCAAATGTTTAAAAAAAATTAAAACATTCTGAACCACATACTTACATCCAGCAGCATAAGTGAGGGGTTTGTGAGAAGTTCGCATGCAATGTTTGCCCGCTTCTTTTCACCACCAGAAAGACCACGTTTAATGTAATCACCAATAACTGCAAGCAGAAACATGGTACATATATCTTGGCCACTAAACTGCAATGGATAAGTTTGTTTTGTGATTTTTTAAAAAAAATTAACTAACACTAAGGTAGCATAAACCAAAGGTTTCATATAAAATCTTGCTAATGACCACAGTGCAGAGGAATTCCTCAAAACTTTTCTCTTTATGATCTATATTAATGTCATGTTCTCATCTTATTAATGGTCTTAAGTGGACTTTCCTCATGAGGTGTCCCTCAACCAAAATCTATACTATCCTAGCCACATGCCCAGCCCATTGCAGCTTTCCATATTTTACTATCCTAACAATACTTCTTCTTCTTCTTCTATGGCTCTCCAGTCCGTATTTGGTCTGTGGCCTCCTCAATTCTCCTCTTCCATTTGGTCCTTCTGTTAGGTCCGTCTGTCCAAGGTTGAGGTTTCGAAACATCTTCCTTTTTACAGTGCAAGGTTGTTAGCCTTGCAACCAACCCCCAACCTGGAGGACCAGGGTATTTGTCTTAGTCTGACCTCTCCTCCTCGACCAATCTGGCTAGGGAGGCCCTACCAGTAGGCCAGATTCTAACAATACTAGGTAACCTATAAATTGCAATGTTCCTCATTATCATATAACCTAACCTGCTTGTTCACTTAGGCTCACTTATTTTCCCGAGCACTTCGTTTTCTAGCATTTACATGTATGTGCTTTCCTCATATTAAAGGACTATGTTTCACACAAAGAATTTTAGCCCGCGTCGTACGGGGGGTGAGTTTTTTTGCATGAAAATAACTGCTTTAAAATATCTACATTCAGTGCCATAGTTTTGTAAATCTCATTTTAATTCCTGTAAAACAAAGTACATTTTAAAGGAAGAGACGTACTTGTGTCCTGACATGCGCCGAGCTCTAGCACGTCAATGATGTGGTCCACGTACTGCATCTTCTGAGAATGTGACAGAGTGTCAGGTAACCTCAAACGGGCTGCATACTGCAAAACATTTTATATAAGTCGTTGGAAATAAAAGTTTTAATTTACATCTTATATTTCTAAATATACGTGTTAAGAGGGCCTGTTATCAACATGGCAAGGTAAATGGAGCAGTCTATAGACAGGGAAGGTAACTGCGAATATTGTCAACAACCGCCAATGGGCAATCTTCCAGTTTGGTGATACGGAAGGTGGCTACCAACCTCTCATCGTAAGAAACCGGCATGTTACAAAAATCACATGGTCTTGGACTTGGAATGATCTAAGTATAGATGGGCGATAATATTAAAAGAATGATGTAGTAGGCTGTGGATTGGATTCATGTGGGTCCAATTGATTGTTCTTGTGAGTATGTTAACAAACTGAACCTTGTGGGTTACTTTGATGGCGGGGAATTTCTTGACAAACAACTTTTCGACATTCATCAAGAGCACAAGTTCCCTTGACCATGTCGAGAAGCAGAACAAAAATCTAGTAACTTGTAACAGACACAAGTGAAAGCCAACATAATTAATGGCTGACCATCGTAATGTCATCATGTTAAGATGCCACATAACGTTACTGAAATACTCGTGACTTGTTGAGGTTATGTGCATTTTAAATATTTTGTACACATTTCACTCATACTCGTAATTTTCCAAAAGGAAACGTGCAAAGTGGGGATTTGAACACCAAAACAAGTACTTCAACTAAAGTTTCAATCACACAAGGCTGGGAAAATATGAGCGGTACAAAGTGATGGAATACCATTTTGTCTTCCTGAAGCCTGAGCTTCAACTCTGAAACATTTCATCAATGTAAAATTCATTTCTAAACTATCTCACAAGTCCAATGTTATGACGATAAGATTTCGGTTTCATATTTCAGAAATTCGGGACGAGTTATCCTGACCAATTTCTTTTTCTGGTTTATTGTACAGACACTGGGACAGCAACTCCACAAGATCAATGCTACCTTCTCACCCCACATCACATCATAATCTGTGGAGTCCGGAAGTCCGATATACAGTGTCCGCAAAAGACGTACGTAGAAATAAAGACATTTTACATACGTCAGCACTGACACACAGTAAATTAACGAATCTAGTGCAGGTTTTCAAAATGACCACCGTCCGTCCATGTCTTCCGCAAACACAACATACGGAAATCGATAACATGTTTAATATTCCACATTATAATGTGTATATTATATTCTGATACACCTGCATATACCCTGTCTGGACTGGTTAAAATTAAACCGGACATGACTACAGCTTCGAAAAAAATCACATCTTCAGATATAACATATCACTGATAAGTTTACAACTCATAAGGAACTGTCACATTTTTTATTAGGCCCAGAGGTTCATTACCGCATCTACATACGCAACCAAACTTTATCCTGAACCAGTTCAAACCTGTCCATATCCTCACAACAGATTTACTTAAGAACGGTCTTGATATTATTCTGACTATGGTAACTATACATACCGTCTGCTTTAACATTCAATAACTTGATTTTGGTCATACTAATATTAATAGGTTTCGCATTTTAGTTAATCATTTGTGGTACTAATATACAAAGACTGGAGCGCACATGTCCATGGAAGTGTAGTAATTTATTACCAGGTGTTTTTCTTGCATTATCATGGCGACATCGGTATTTGTATTACATTAAATCGTAAAGATAAGCAGTTATTTAATTTTCTATAGGTTATTTTGTTAGACTTTTCGATAAAAGAGTGTTTTAAGTACTACCTTAGATTTTCTATCATTCATGATGGGTAATATGCCAGTAATTCTCAGAGAAAACTAAGATTATTTCCTTAAACACATATAACCAGTAAATCTTTGTAATGGTACGGAATGAATGTTTATATGAGCTTCGGCTCCAGAGAGTTAAAGGTATGCAAGAAACAGAGAGCTGAGACTTGGCACTACATACGCAGATAGCATCATCTGCCATACAAAGGCAATTGACAGATCCATGAATCTTGCTCGTAACAGGGTCACTGACTGAATGACGTCAACTACTGCATAAGAATACTGCAATGTGGGTTGGAACGTCTCCAAAGTGACCCACTGACCACTGAAGCCTTAAGAGTACACAAATCTTCAATGGAATCTACCGTTGCTTTTTCTAGTTTCATGATTTTTAAAGTTACTGGGAGGTAACATATGAATATATTACCAACGAAGAAACAGTTTCAGAACCTAACCAACATCACAGCCACCAAATAACACTGACAAAAAAAAATTACCACTAAACCTAAATGTTTGCATCCGTTTGTGTCTTGGTAACTAAATACTTTCGGCAGTGCCGTCGCAGGTCGATTTAGTAATGAGAACAAAATGAAACTACAATTTAACGTCTGCATCAACATTCCGAGCCGCATTGTAAATGTTGACATCGGTATCGCCGCGACCTATAGGAAACTTCTTCGGCAGGGAAACGCAGCGGGTAATCTAAACATTGACGATAGGGGCTACGTGCAATCGGACTGCGATCAAGGGCACAGGGAATTTATACACAAAGTTTGATTACCTCAGGTCTGATTAAAAAAACAAACACATCGCAATGACGTGGAGCCGAAATTACTTCCTAATGGTGCTAGGACAAAATACTCTCAAGAGATCGGGAAGTCCAAATCTTCATGGTGTCCTCTACGACATGACCAGCGAACACGGACGTTGCAACCTCTGAAAATATTACTGCGGATGAGATATATCATCATTGCTTTGTGAACATGTAGAACAGTGTTTCCCAAGGTGTGGTTTGCGTACCGCCGGTGGTACGCAAGAGGTTCCAAGGGGCACGCAACATGAAATAAATTACTAAACATTGTACCAGATGAACTCTTATATAACTGATCCTGAAAGACGTATGCAAATGTTTAACGTTTGGAAAACACCGATACAGAAGAATATATTAGCCGTTGCCCGTGCTGCCATCCACCAGCCGATTTTTCTTCTGTCCCCCTTCCCTCCGTTGTATTGCAGTTTATTTAACGACGCTGTCAGTAGCTCAATCTATACAGCGTCGATTGATAGGATGCATAATCCACAATTAAATTGGAATATGCAAATCGTGGTGACCTAATTTGAGGTAATATCCCGTCAACTGTCTGGAGAGACTGAAGAAAATAAAGTACCTCGGTCAGGATATCCGGTCTTCTGGGCGAGATCTGAATCAAGGACGTCCTGAATAAAAATCAGGAGTGATAACTTACCGGCAGCGGCTTTCGCTGCCTCCCCACTGTAGCTTTTTAAGCTGATAGGTCGTTTGGTTAGGTTAGGTTACGTTAGAAAGTACAGCTGTACTAGAGTATCAACTGTCTGTAAAGAGAACCTGTCTTTCGTCCCGAAATTATACAGTGGCAGGGGATGTAAAGTAACAGAAACTGCTTCACGTGGAGAGGTGAAAAATACCGATAAATAGTCGGCTTGAATGCTCTCTTGAATATGTTCAATTGTGCACTTGGTGAAATTTATACCAGATAAAACATTCCTGCCAGCGATGGATAAGAATCAAACGTGACCGTCGACCAAAATATCTGTAGGATACTTTAATGGACCACTGGAAAAATAAATGAAGGTATAAACAAATAGAAATTAACACGTGTAATATTTTTATCTAGACATCAGTATCTGTGTTAACGACCCTTGGCATCCAGTCATAAGCAGGTTTCACTGTACTTTTTCCGGTTGTATCTAGATCAAACATCGAAGTCTCCTACTCTGAGATTCATCGCAGTTTCCTTAAAATTCGTCCAAACAAAGCGCTTAGAACCTCATCTAGAATGCTTTCTGAATCATCAGTGCAGGGTGAACAATCACATGCGAGACGTCGGAGATATGGAGACGGTTTAGACCTAAAGAGAAGTTTAATAAATGTACCAATAGCACGAGACGTTATAACGATCGTTAGCAGCCATACCAAAATAGTTAGCACATCCGCCATACTGCTATTGTCCATTTTTCAAAAAGAGTCGCTACAAGATAGTTCCGCCATTTTATGATATGCCAACGCAAAATAAAAATTAATACGTACAGACCTTGTGGGACTATTACATCACCACACAGATTTAATACGTGTTTCTTTAATGACGATATCTACAAACACATCCCAAAATATCACAGAATAAGCAACATCAAGTGGGGTCTTTGAATAGCACGGACCAGTTGCGTCTTTTGTTTTATGCAACGAACCGTGGAACGTGTATTACGTAAACATCAGACCACAGAAACATCAATAAACAAGACTTAGTTCTCCCATTTTATTGTCAGTTCATTACAAATACCCAGTTCTGTTCTTGTTTAGGCGAACACCATTCCGTGTCTAAAGTAAGACTGGCTACTAAGTTCAAGGCTGGGATCACTGAATTGAAGAATGCAATCTGGACGGACGATGCTTCGCACGTGTAGCTCATATAGTTTCCGTGGGTCAGAGACCTTGATCGTTTAGCGTCCAAATTAAGACTTCTGGGGCAGTGAAAACACAAAGCAACAAGCGCATCCTTGTTCGGCGAAACACACACAAGAATAATTTGTTTCCTGCGTGGTGCAATTTCCGGTTCCGAAGAGTAACACTGCAGGTCTTAATACCACACGCGCTAGCAGCATACAGAGCCTGTCACGACAACACAGTATTTTGCGAGAACATTATGTTGATCAATGAAATCTTCTCGGGCAATCAGCCGCGTCAACTGATTACCATAGTAAACCGACGTTTCGGGAACCAACTCTGTCCTCATCAACCCTGATGATGGGGACAGAGTTGACGTGGCTGATTGCCCGAGAAGATTTTATTGATTGTACTCTCCGCGAAAGTCTCAAATCCTATAACATTATGTTGTTTTAAAGGACAAAAAATAAAGTTGCAGCCCTGATCTAAGTTGATTGCAGCATGCAAAGGCACATTGCACTGTGACCAGATCTTGAATAGTTGGATTTCAGAACAACGGAAGCTCCTATCCGACTCGGACTGATTTCGTGTTCTCTTACCTTAGCATACGCGTTCACTGGATCACTAAATTTCCTGCGCCCCTGAAGTCTGAAAGCAACTAACTGAACCATTTATACTTAGCGATGGACTGCCATGCGTTTATCGAAATACATGCTATTAGTATGCAGAGCTGTTTTGTCTGCTGAAATAAGAAGAAAACTTTTCAACGAGTTCTGAATTCTGAACACTCAAAAGAAAAACAAAAGCCAGTAACTTATTTTCATTTTCGAGAGCAAACATTCCCAAGATGAATAAAAGAACGCTTTTTTCCGAAAATCAAGAAGCTGGTAAGCTATGACCGAAGGCGGAAATGCTGAATGACTATTTATCATTGTCGTTTACAGTCTCCCAGTCCCCAAATTGTCTGTATGCATAAACTGAAAGCATAAGAGTATGGCTGAGCTACATCGCATTTCTTGCAATTTTAAGTACGTGTGCGATTTGTGGTTGTGTGTCTTGGAATATGAACTATGACGTATACACTCCACTCCAAAAATATTCACAACCCCCCTCCCCCTGGCCCAACTTTCCACTGAGCTTTTTCACCTGTGTCTCACCTCGAGCGTCTGTCTGAGGGTGAGGTCGGGGAAGAAGATGTCCTGTTGCAGCACGTAACAGATCTTTCGCTTCCAGCGCTTACTCAGTCGCTCCCTGTTGAGCCTGATGCTGCCTGCCTCTAGCCGTACTCGTCCTGACAAACAGTTCAGTAGCGTCGTCTTCCCGCAGCCTGCAACCCGCAACACAACACCTCCGTGAACTGGTTTATGAAGGTTTTATGATGCTTATGTGAGGATTTCGAAGGAGGCTGTGAGGAAAGTCACGAAAATGGTTGTTAGGAATATCAACCGCTGTTAAACTGCGTCCACAGACCGAGTGACCACCGGTGTAAGTGGTCCCCCTCTACCAAGTGCCAAAAGCTTCTTCGGAGGGTGGATGAGCGGGTGGAAGTTCAGGGAACCCTCATGCCCTTGGGGCGAGAAATCGCCCCTAAAGGCGGATGAGCCCGGATGGGTCAACGGCATACGATGCAGAAGGCAAGGGAAATCCACCGCATTAAAGATCCTCAGGATTTCCCAAGTATCAGCAGCTCAAGAGCTGCTGCCACCCAATCCTAGGATTGATTACAAAAGAAAAAGACTAAACTGGTCGTTTTGTAGGATAATCAGCACACAGAAACATCCATACCCTCAACGGGATTCGAACCCGCCACCAGTGTTCGCTTGGCCTGTAATCGACCCTATCATCGGTACAGGCAGCTGCTTCTAGAAATGGCTACTTGCAAAGAAGACAAAGGCACTAAATGGATATCAACAGGCTGTTCCCATTAGTGGAACATTACATTCCTGTAAATATCAAGCCACTGAGCCAAAGGACGCATCTGCGGTGCTCTGTTCGCTTGCCCGACACGAAGACACGCAGTTTCGTAGTTCAGAGGTGGAGTGAAATATAACAGACAAAGAGGCGGCTGGGTCCATTAAAATACAAAATGGGGCAGGGATCTCTCTGTTCGCCACCAGTGTCCAAACCGGACCTGAGACCCACCGAGTGAGTACTGGTGATTAATCAGCTAAAGCCCACTCACCTCCATCTGGTATCGAGGTTATGAATGCGTCTTCATGGCGTCTTTACCCACAACTTTGCGTAAAACTGAGTTATCAAACAGGGCTTCACGTTATCAGGTTTTGGCTTCATCGGCATCAGACTCGTGACGCAGTTTCAGTAACAAATATTCGATGGGATGGGCGGATATGTAGCACGCATGAGACTAAAAATTTTAGTACGAAACTTGAGGGAACTTCTGGGAACTACAGGAGGATGGGTAAATAATATTAAAATGGATCTTAAGGAACAAGGGTGTGGACTGGATTCAGCTGACTCAAAATAATACCCAATGACGGGCTCTTTTGAACACGGTAATAAAGCTTTGGGTTCAATACAAAACGGATAAATGTGCGACTATCAGATCCCCAGAGCCGCTGCACTCACCGGATGGGCCCATAACCGCCAGCAGTTCTCCGGGCCGTACAACTCCGCTCACGTCCTTCAGAATGGGCCTCTTGTCCACAGAAACCGTAACGCCACTGAACACCAGCTCCAGAGGCCGCTGTTGGTCCAGACATGGGAAGTGGATCGTTGCGCTGGGGACACTGGACTCTACCCTGAAACAATAAGAAACATCTCCTCAAATAATGGCACGTACTTGACATTTATTTTGTACAGACTGTATTCTGTTTGAACGGAACTGTACCTGTATAGATGTCACTGTTGAAACATAATGCTATCCAATATATAAGCCTGATGTACGCATTCGTGAAGGGGTTTTCTGTCAGTGTCGTAATATGAAGAAGGAGAAGGAATTAAGGCGAGAAACCCTTTCGGAGCAACAGTTCAAAAAGGAAAATGTGTCGCATTTGGATTAGTATTGTTATTGTTATTATTATTATTATTATAATTCCATATATTCACCACTATATAGGGTATTTACTTCTATGTGTCCGAGACAAACTTTGCCCCTGAGGTACAGAGTGCAGCAGCTATTTCCGAAATACATTTTGTTTTTAATATGAGTTACATGTATTATATAGTTTAAATGTGAGGGATGACTATATATTTTACGACAGCGTCTTTCGAATGATGTATGAAGATCCTAGAATGGCAGTTTTCTGAAGTTCCCTGATGTGTTCGCTCGGGACGTTGGCCAAATATTTTCTGAGTGACTTGGAGACAGTTCCAGTTGCTCCTATAATTATTGGGATTACTTTTGCTTTCACTTTCCATTATTATTATTAGGTAAACTTTGTTCTATTATTATTATTTGCAACTAACACAGTGTTAGCATAATATTAAGATTTAACACCACGGCCCACCACTGGACACGAACATAAGACAATTTCACCAACCTTCAACCCCCATAACACGTCCTTCTAAAAACCATCCTAATACAATTATCCCATCGCTTTCGTCTTTCAAGTGACCATTTTCAAGAGATTTCCCCATCAACATTCTGCATTGTATTCCCCATTTAATCTACTAGCGTTGACAGGAATAAACCTTCTTTGTGTTAAGCAGTTATACAGCTTGTTGCAGTATTATCAATACTAATAAAATTTCCTATATATATTTTTTTTGTTGAAAAAATCTTCTCCTGCGAACCTCCACGCAAAACCGACCCCTTGACTCCAGACTCCCGTCTAACACAGCCCCCACCAGACCCCACCACACTCGTTTGCTTTTCTGCTTCTCGTCAGAACTTTATTACGTCTTTTTCCGCAACGCACGACAGTGCGCTGGTACAACCAAGCGTTACGGACATCGGCAATTATATTATAATCACGACGCGAGACACCCCAGGTGCCTCCCCCCAACTCACAAACCTTTGCGCTGCATCCCCTTCCATACAGCTCCGTGGCCTGATTCACTCTACACCACAAATGTCCCGATAACAGATTATAAAATGCTTTTAAATCGCAGTCTCCCCCCTTCTCCGCCATTCTCCATGATGCTTCCAGGAACGCACGTGTATCGTTGTCATCTTGCATAAAACAGAACACAGTAGTTGCAAACATTGTTTACAGAAGAGCGTATCTTCCCTCAGGTCAAGAATTACGAAACTTCGCGAAGAGCACATAAAGAGTGCAAAGACTCACAGCAGTTTGTATGGCAGTCTGAGATATTCTGCGTCCCAATTATCGCAGACACAAATCAGCAGTTTTGAATGTGATCATCGGCACAGACAAAGGGACTGTAAGATATTGCGGATGTATTTCGTTAAATAAACATTAAGTTGAACTCGACTGAGTAGAGGCCTTATTGAAAAACGATGGTTGTGGGGTTTGTCAAGAAATTCTTCGCCTTTAATGAAACCTGAACGTTCAATACCGTGGACACAAAAGCCCGCCAATAAACTCTATACGGAGCCAAATTAATCCAGTATACCCTCACTGCTGTTTACCAAATACCCAACACAATGTTATCCAATATAAGCACACACCACACAAAAGTTTTTCTTGCAATAAGACTTAACAGATATTAATTATATCTATTGTGTGCCACTTATTGTTAGTTTTTCAGAAATTGTCGCTTCAATTTGAGTTGCACTTAAATGACGTTTGGGCCGATATGGATCAAACTGAAATTGGCTCAAATTATTGGAAATTTGCATGGACTCAACAAATTGTAGTACCTGAATACACCCAAAATTTTTACCGAAAATTGTTGAGTACGTTTGGGGACGATACAATTAAATAAATACACATCACTTTTATCCATCGACGTTGTAAAACGCTTTACGGAAGTTTATCGCCTACCGAATAAGAGCAACTGATTTAAATTGTAATTTATTGCTGTAAAGTGACTGAAGATGTATGGGGGTCGTGAAAACAAGGCAGGTTACGTTGAATGGCCAGTGAACTGACCGACAAGTGGATTTAACCCCGTACACGCTACTTTGTACTGAGCTCTGTGCATATGTTACGTTTCTCTGGAAACATACAAATTCCAATGTTGAAAAGCCACAACTAGCTTTAAATGCTGAGAGATCTTGGCATAAGTTTCCTTAAATTACCTTCCGAAGCATCAAAGACACTGAAACAGAAGGGTCAGTGTTCTAACCGAAATATCCGGCGATCAACAGGGAAAGTGTTCGCTCTGGAGACAGATGCTGAACGGAAGAACGCCAACTCGTTGACACCGTATTTAGGCAGGTGATATATAGAGGTCGTTCCGTTTCAGTTATTCGATTATGTGCAGTACTACGGCATCGCTAAACCAATAACATTTCAGACACCGAACGCTTCTCCAATTGCAATGCTGAATTCCTGGGTATCCAGAGGTCAAGCGAAATGAAGTCGACCCCGACTAGAATCTCGAGCGACTATCGACTAAACCGATCGAAGTTGTCTCCTGCTGCAGAGGTCGTAACAGGTCAGCGAACTGACTCACCTCGGCTGTGCGGTGCGCCCCGCAACACACAGTGGCTGCGATATGCTACTTCAATCAATCGGTGACTGCAGCGCTTACTTTGACTCACTTTCTCTCCTTTCAGTAATAATTAATCTGTTCTGTTAACTTGAAAAAAATTCTGCGCACCAAGCAGCTTTATAACTTTAAAGCAGTGGACAAGTTCATACAGCAGTCCTTGAGAATATAATATTCCCTGCCTCTCATAGGCCCCAAAAGTGCTCATAATAGCCTATTACTGGGCTCCATCCTGAACCACTCCTTATTTGTTAAAGATTAATCTCAATATTATTATCCCTACCTCCACGACCAGATCTCACAATTTACTTCTTCAGATCAATTTTCCGACTAGGCATTTTAAAACTCTCCTAAGCATGCTACAAGTCCCACCCATCTCATCTTCCTTGATGTCATTCGGAAACACAGAGACGTTCCATATTTTCATAAATTATCAATTGATTGTTGCTAGTGGCCACAGTACGGCGCGTGCTATAACCTGCAAGGACCATTGTCAATCTGTATTCACTTACAGCTCTTGGTGTGGGCGGTTCGAAGACGAGAAAACCCGGTACGTAGAAGCACTGTATTACTGAATTACCGTAGTTCTGAACTGTGGTTTCTCATTACACAGCCTCAAGTCCGTCCAATAGTCGCATAGATAATCTATAAGATAATCAGTTCAATGCGTGATAGAGTCACGCTCCTTTCTGTTGGTAACACTGATTTTGAGTATGAATCGCGACGGTAAACGCAAGAACCGACTCCAATCCGTCCCGTCGCCAAGGGTCTATGCGGAAGTGGGGCCCGGCAGCGACAAGGCGCGTTCAGCTAGAAAAAAACTGCATGTCTCAAAACAGAACCCTGGAGACTCTGATGTTCTTGTCCATACTTTCGCGTCGAATGTTTAGTGTTAACCTACTTTTCGGCAAACAATGAATTTGTCATTTTCAAGGTGAGTATGAGGTGGGGAAAGCTCTAGAGACCTTATATAGAGCAGACAGGATCCTCTGGTCTTCCAATCAGCACCATACAATTTTTATCGACAATCAATGCCTACCCTGCGTACGACCCCAGAACCTGACCTACGTTTTCAGCTCCAAAAATGGTGTTCCACTGCTTTAATTCTATACACACTCTACACTGCAAATACATTTGGCCGAAAGCAAAAATATTCACTCATTTTTCAATTTCAACATAGACATATATCATATTAACTAAATCCATAGAACAGAGCCATTTGAGAATATCCTGAGCCAGCTGAATCCAGTACGTACCATCTCGTGTTCATCCCTTCCCTTGGTCGTACCAAATAATCCGTCCAAGACCGAAGCCCCATGTAACATTTCGTGGCATACGGGAATAAAGTTACAAATTGCAGAAATACCCCTTGTCGGCTGTCCGCGACAACTTATTCAATATATTCGCAGCTACTATTCGTATCTCGAGACCATCTCCATCCACATCCTGAGGCTGCGCTATACTGTCGTGACAATGGACAAGTGGATTTATTATTATTATTATTATTATTATTAAAGAATTGAATTATTATTTCATATGCGAGACACACCCAATACAACGACCTAATTAAAGGACTAGTATGCCTTGTTTGTATTCCAAGAATCACTTCATTTGCTTTTTGTTTCAGGCTTTCGAAATTAATTATGAACTGTGAAAGCACGTTCAAATTACATCACAGGCTGGTATAGAATTACCAGGAAATAAATGTGTTACCCGGGACTCCAGATATCGAATTTCTCCCCAGAAAAATGCTCTGCGAATACGCCCTGTTCGCTCCCATAATGACAGTTAATAGAGTCGAAACCCGTCAGATTTCAGGCAATAAACTGTGAGAGAATTCTCGGAATATTTTCAGTGCGTTGCTCATGTAAATGGCTTGCGAGATGCGAACCGTTCACTTCACAGTTGTGAAGCTGAAGAACAGAGCTTTCTGGTACATCGTGCAGAATAGTCTTATACAGAAGATGCTAACCGACGTTGCAGAGGGTTGTACTGCCTTCATCATCAGGTCGATACGTGCCCTCGTGATGGTGGTGTCTCCATTAGCAACACTTCGCCCACCAATGAACAGACACTTTTTTACCGCTGACAATAAGAATTTTTGAAGATTACTGTCTTCTGGGTTGTTGCGCCGTATAGTCTGGTAGATGTCCACTAATAAGGATTTTTGATAGGGTCACTT